CAGAATTTGGGTACCTCAGGGCTCAATATTAGGACCTTTGCTCTTTTTGATTTGCATTAATAACGCATAAGGAAGAATTATTTAAAATTTCTGATGTCATTAAATTTTGTGTGTTGCTGGCTGTGAGTAGGAGGCAACTGCGATACAAAATTATTTAGATTATTTTTGAGTTGGGCGAAAAAAATAGAAAATGGCTTTTAATTACAGTATATGAAAGGTAATGGATATGGGATATCATAGTTTGACTTATGAGTATGATTTGATGGAAATAGCCTTAACAGTATAATGGAAGAAAAGAATCTTAGTGTTCTGGTTGATCAGTCTCTTAACCCGCCCTAGCAATGTGTTGTTGCTAGTGGTAGGGCAAATATGATTTTAGGTTGTATGTACAGAAATATTAAATACATGTCTAGAGTGGTTATAGTGTCATTGGTTAGACCACATCTGGAATAATGTGTTCAGTCTTGGCCTTTTACCTTAGAAAGATACATGTCTAAAGTGGTTATAGTGTCATTGGTTAGACCACATCTGGAATAATGTGTTCAGTCTTGGCCTTTTACCTTAGAAATATACATGTCTAGAGTGGTTATAGTGTCATTGGTTAGACCACATCTGGAATAATGTGTTCAGTCTTGGCCTTTTACCTTAGAAAGATACATGCCTAGAGTGGTTATAGTGTCATTGGTTAGACCACATCTGGAATAATGTGTTCAGCCTTGGCCTTTTACCTTAGAAAGATACAAGTCTAGAGTGGTTATAGTGTCATTGGTTAGACCACATCTGGAATAATGTGTTCAGTCTTGGCCTTTTACCGTAGAAAGATATTGAATTGTTGAAAAGTATTCAGAGGAGGACTACTAGAATGAAACCTGGGATGGAAAGCTTCTCATATAAGGATAGGTTAAGTTCTTTGAACTTGTTTTCTCTTGAGGGGATCTGATTGAGGTGTTTAAGATTGTTAAGGGAATTGATAGTATTGATGCCTCATATTTTTTTCGCATATAATGGTGAAAATGGTAAGAATAAGGGACACAAATAGAAATTTTATCAGGGTAGGAGTCATCTTCATCTAAGACAGCTTTATTTTTCTGAAAGGTTGGTTGACTTTTGGAACGGTTTGCATTCGGACGTGACGGATACAATTAATTTGAAGGAAAGCTTGATAAATACTTGAATGATAAGAGCTGGCTTTGAGTTTTGTAGTGCTAAGTTCTATTTAGTGAATAGGACAACCTAAACTGACCAAAGATCCTCTACTGTCCTTTAATGTTATGTTATACCTTGATTCTTAAAAAGAGGGGGGTATTACATCTTGTTTCTTACTAAGGGGTTCTTATAGCTTGATTCTTATAATCTTGAGTTTTTAGGAACAACGATAGTAATGTTATGCGGACAGGATTCTGAAGAGCAGAAACATTTTTGTGTTCTGGCTGGTGGGTTTAGATCAGAACACTGTAGATAAAAAATTATTAATTGAATGACCGCAAGTCCAGAATAATTGTTATTTTTGTTCTTCAATTGTGATGGTGTGCTTAGACAAGAACAAAGAAATATGCAAAGCAAGGAAAGTATTAATATAATGCTAATTATGGTAGCCAAACTGAAAATCAAGTAGTTACGGTTCAGGAAGAGTAGCTTACATACAAAAAAAAAAAAATAGATACACGTTGTCTTTAAATTGACCATCATACAAAATTAACCAGGCTGACTCACTAAACGACTTTGTTTTAACATTTAAAACCCCGTTCGTAAGGAACTTAATCACGACTGTTAGTTTCTATCTCAGTTGAATATAAGCTGAAAAGGTAAGAACGGAAAACGTGTTTTTAAATCTCAACACCTTTCATAAAAATAAAATTATGAATTTACTTGATATCAATTACATCCTTGTAAGTAAGACATGCTAACATTACAACATTTAAACAAATACACTTAATACTTTATAAGTAATACTTGTCAATCTTAGATTATTTAAATAAACATAATTAATGTCTTGTAATGTTTTACAATTGTATATCATTTAAACAAATACCCGTTTTAGTAACGTATAACAGTCTTTCACCATTTAAACAAATACACTTAATACCTTGTAAGTACCGCATGCCAATATTTTTGAACACAATTTAAGAAGTTTGAATATCTTAACTTTGCCTATGGATATCTCACTTGTTAAATACGGGTTAAGAAGCTTGAATATCTTAACTTTGTCTATGTAGATCTCACTTGTTGAACATACATAATAAGAATAACTATAGTTAATATCCAACAATTCATTTTAAGTTTAGACCTCATGAAGTTTTAGACATATTGGTATAAAATAGTTGTGTATCCATGAAACATAGAAAACCCTGGGAACAAAAAAAAAGTGATTATTAAAATTGAAATTGTTATTAAATTTAGAATAAAATTCGAAAAAAAACCATAAAACTGAAGAGCATTTTAAAAAGGTGTAGTATTACAAAAGGAAAGAATGCAAGATTTGAAAGAAAATAAGGATTATTTAGTTATTTTAAAGACGAAAACACTTGAGAGTTTGATCTACGTAACGACTGTCAGGGTTTATTTATGTTGAGAGTTTGATAAACACATCCTTTAGCTATTTAGTAAGAAGTTAAAAATTAATATCTGCATAATTTACCTAGCTTGTAAAAAGTCTGAATGTTGATATTTACATAATTTACCTAGCTTGTAAAAAGTCTGAATGTTGATATTTACATAATTTACCTAGCTTGTACAAAGTCT